TGTTGTTTGGCGGGTCCGGGCTGGGGATTCGAACCCGCCACCTTAGGTGTACGTGGCTGGCGCCTTAGCCGGTTGAGCTATAGGCGCCGAGCCACACCACTGAATTCTTAAGGATTAAATAATACAAGAACTCAGCTTACTGCTAGTACTGAGTAAATGCTCAATAAATAAACATTAGCTATTATTTTTAGGCTTCTTGCTTGAGAAAAATAGATAATAATTTAAAATGAATTGAAATTTAAAATTATATTTTTTCTGAGACAGCCTCATCATGTCAGCCTTGGTGGAGTGCTGTAGCATCACAGTTCACAGAAACCTCAAACTCTTGGGCTTAAGTGATTCTCTCTCTCCCTTTTTTTTTTTTTTTTTTTTTTTTTTGCAATTTTTGGCCAGGGCTGGGTTTGACTCCACCACCTCCAACATATGGGGCTGATGCCCCATTCTTTTGAGCCACAGGCGCCACCTGGCTTAAGCGATTCTCTTGCCTCAGCCTCCTGAGGCAGGTGCCTGCCACAATGCTCAGCTATTTTGTTGTTATCATTGTTGTTTAGCAGGCCCGAGCTGGGTTCCAACCTGCCAGCCCCAGTGTATCTGATTGATGCACTAACCACTGAACTACAGGTACTGAGCCTGAAATTTAAAATTAAAACCAAAACATTAAAACATTGTTTTGGCTCTGTGCCTATGGCTCAAGTGGCTAAGGCACCAGCCACATACACCTAAGGTGGCAGGTTCAAATCCAGCCCAGACCCACCAAACAACGACGGCTGCAACCAAAAAATAGCCGGGCATTGTGGCAGGCGCCTGTGGTCCCAGCTACTTTGGAGGCAGAGGCAAGAGACTTGCTTGAGCCCAGGAGTTGGAGGTTGCTGTGAGCTGTGAAGCCACGGCACTCTACCATGGGGGATAGCTTGAGGCTCTATCTCGAAACAAACAAACAAACAAACAAAACCATTGTTTTGTTTTTGAGAAAGGAGGAAAGACTTTACTAAAGTAGAATTTCCACATACTGCTGATAAATTTTGTCACCTTATTGTGTTTTATTAGCTACCCAGGTTATTTTCCCTTGTTGAGGAATTATAGGAAATGATGGATATAAAACCCCTGGCACCAAGTTCAAGACTAACATAGGGATGTTAAAGAGAGAAAAAGATTCTGGGTCAGATATTTTAACCATTTTTTTTTTTTGAGACAGAGCCTCAAGCTGTCCCCCTGGGCAGAGTGCCGTGGCATTACAGCTCACAGCAACCTCCAAATCCTGGGCTCAAGCAAGTCTCCTGCCTCCGCCTCCCAAGTAGCTGGGACCACAGGCGCCCACCACAACGCCCGGCTATTTTTTGGTTGCAGCCGTCATTGTTTGGCAGGTCCGGGCTGGGGATTCGAACCTGCCACCTTAGGTGTATGTGGCTGGCGCCTTAGCCGGTTGAGCTATAGGCGCCGAGCCTATTTTAACCATTTTAATGATAACACTAAAGTTAGAACACAAATGGTGGTGCTCATTTATTAGTAATTTCTGATAGGTCAGATCTGTAACAGTACGTTTCATGTTACAGTATTAGGAGCATAGTTTTAGAATAGGTGCACTGAAATCTCACCAGTAATGAATGAATGAATTATTGCATTACAAGGGCATTGAAATCACTAACACTTGCCTTTAACTCCATAGTACCAATTACTGACCAAGGAAGTCTGTTTAATCTGAGTTCATTTCCTTAATTTGAAAAACGAGACTAAAGCTCTGTACCCGTGGCTCAGTGAGTAGGGTGCTGGCTACATACACTGAAGCTGGTAGGTTCGAGCCCGGCCAGGGCTAAACAACAATGACAACTACAACAAAAAAAGAGCCGGGCGTTGTGGCAGGTGCCTGTAGTTCCAGCTAGTGAGGGGGGCTGAGGCAAGAGAGTTGCTTAAGTCCAGGAGTTTGAGGTTCCTATGAGCTGTGACGCCAAACAACAACAGCAACGATAACAACAAAAAAAAAAAAAAAAAAAAAAAGAAAGAAAAAAGAAAAAGAAAAATGGGGCTAATACCATCTATTATTAAAGTGCAACTTATTTCAAGGAGATTGTGCTGGAAAAGTGTCTGGCAAATTTTTTTTTGTTTGTACTATTTATTCAAAAAATTTAACTGAAAAACCTATCTACTAGTACATAAGATGAGAAGAACGAGATGCTGCTTTACTTCTATTCATGTCATCCTTCACCAATAATCTTGTTTTTTTTTTTGAGACAGAGTCTCACTATTTCACTTGTAGTAGAGTGCTGTGGCGTCACAGCTCACAGCAACCTCAAACTCTTGGGCTTAAGCGAATCACTACCCTCAGCCTCCCAAGTAACTGGGACTATAGGTGCCCGCCACAACCCCTGGCTATTTTTTCTTGCCGTGTCATTGTTGTTTATCTGGCCCAGGCTGGGTTCAAACCCGCCAGCCTCCGTGTCTGTGGATGGAACCATAACCACTGTGCTGCGGGCACCAAGTCCAGCCAAAGCTCTTTCCACTATGATCTACGGCTTCCTTTACAATGTGAAAATTACACCCACTTTAGGTGTTTCAAGCAAAACCGCAAAATTTCTATGGTTTCTTCAGTGTCTGTTCCATTAAGTAAGCAAAAGAAAAGGATTACCTCTATCATCACGCCTATAATCATCCCGAGAGTAATCATCTCTGGAGCTCCATGATCTATCCTCCCGTCTGTCATAACGGTCTTCATAGCGGTCCCCGCCTCCCCTGTAGTCATCGTCTCTGCGGTACCCACTACCAAATGCCCTTCTGCCACTTCCTATCCTGGAATCATAGCCTGTAAACATATCCCAAATTGTGATCACCACACTGAAGGCAGGGGTCAAAGGAGTTCTTTAAAGAAAGGAATGTTAACTGTATTTTATAATCACCTCTATCATAGTCTCTGCTGCCTCGGTCATCATATCGATCCCGGCCGCCATATCGATCCATGTCCCGGCGTGGGCCATCCCGATAGCCATCACGATACCCATCCCGATACCGATCTGAATCATAACGATCTCGATACTCTAGAGAAAAAGACAGGTAACATCACCCTCTTTTCTTTAACACCATGGTAGCCCATTAGATCAACGTGATATCAAGAGTTCTTATTTACCACTTAGTTTTTAATATAAATCAATAAACATTATTTCCAAAGTGAAATTATTTACATTGATTTTTTTTCACCATCTGATTTTTCTTTTTTTTTTTTTGAGACAGAGCCTCAAGCTGTCACCCTGGGTAGAGTGCTGTGCCATCACACCCACACCTCACTCACAGCAACCTCCAACTCCTGGGCTTAAGCGATTCTCTTGCCTCAGCTTCCCAAGTAGCTGGGACTACAGGCGCCTGCCACAATGCCCAGCTATTTTTTGGTTGTAGTTGTAGTTGTTTGGCGGGCCCGGGCTGGATTTGAACCTACCAGCTCTAGCATATGTGGCTGGCGCCTTAGCCACTGGAGCTACAGGAGCTGAGCTGCACCATCTGATTTCTTCAAAAAATTTCCCTGGTGAAATAAACGTTGCTGGGCTGGCAATTTTGGGAAGAATGGGATAGAAATAAAATAACTTCCTATGGAGACTTTACAGCATTTGTATTAACCTGGATGGAAGTGGAACACACTATTTGTAGTAAAGCTTCACAAGAATGAAGAAGCATGGTTTGATGCCTGTGGCTCAAGTGGCTAAGGTGCCAGCCACATACACCTAAGGTGGTGGGTTCGAATCCAGCCCAGGCCCGCCAAACAACAACGGCTGTAACCAAAGATATATTTTTTTTTTTTTTTTGAGACAGAGCCTCAAGCTGTCCCCCTGGGTAGAGTGCCGTGGCATTACAGCTCACAGCAACCTCCAACTCTTGGGCTCAAGCGAGTCTCCTGCCTCCGCCTCCCAAGTAGCTGGGACCACAGGTGCCCGCCACAACACCCGGCTATTTTTTGGTTGCAGCCATTATTGTTGTTTGGCGGGTCCGGGCTGGGGATTCGAACCCGCCACCTTAGGTGTACGTGGCTGGCGCCTTAGCTGGTTGAGCTATAGGCGCCGAGCCAACCAAAGATATATTAATGTTAGTAAAATCATTATATTATACACAAGTAAAACGCTAAAACAGAACACAAAAACAATAACCAGTCATGTGGCTTTAAAATTTTTTTTTTTCATTTTTTAAGACATAGTCTCACCCTTGGTGGCTGTGGGTAGTATAGTGGCATAATCACAGCTTACTAAAACCTCAAACTCCTGGGTTCAAAGATCCTTCCTCCTATCTCAGCCTCCCTAGTAGCTAGGACTATAGCTGATTTTTCTATTCTTAGTAGAGACAGGGTCTCACTCTTGTTCAGTCTAGTCTCAAACTTCTGAGCTCAAGTGATCCTTCCACCTTGGTCTCTGAGAATGCCAGGATTACAGGCATGACCCTGTGCACATTCTGGAAAGGCAGGTGAACTCTGCACTTCTAGTAATATTTCAGATAATACTCCCACCCCCAAGATTTCTTGTTTGGCCTAATGCTTGGGATAGACGTCTCTGACCTCTTGACAATCTGGGATCTTTAACTCAGGTTAACTAAGTTGACTTTTGGACAACTTTCGGTTATCCATCCTGCTTATTGTAAATTCAAGGTGAAAAAATAGTCATGTCCCTTGACTCACAACAGGACCTTTGCTTGGTCTGTCTGCTTTTTTTTCCAAGCCATTTATTTCTTTGGCTCAGTGCCCACAGCACAGTGGTTATGGCTATTTTTTTGTTGCAGTTGTCATTGTTGTTTGTTGTTTAGCTAGCCCAGGCTGGCCTTAAACCCGCCAGTCTCAGTGTATGCAGCCAGCACCCTACTCACTAAGCTACGGGCACCCAGCCAAAAGAGCCATTTCTTCCTGTTAACAACAGAATCTCTTGCATAAATGCCCAAGTAAAGGATCTCAGATAGTTTCCCCCAAGGCCTTTTGTTCATAAGACCTGTAAAGTCAGACATAAACTTACTGATTTGCTATTCCTGACCTGTGCCCCATTCTTTCTTCCTTCTTCTACATCTTAATAGGTTAAGGAGGACTCTCTCCTAATAGAAATTATATTTCTTATGGCTTTCCCACTTATAATTGATATGGAACTTATTAGGCATCTTACAGAATTAAAATGTTTGTCAACTTAAGTTGTTCTTACCATTTCTTTTTACTTAAGTGTTTGAAACATTACAAAGCAATTATAACAAACTTACGATCCCTTTACTTAGGCTTAGTGGATATCAATATTTTGCCATGTTTATTTCAGGTTTTTTTTTTTTTTTTTGAGACAGTCTCAAGCTGTCACCCTGGGTCAAGTGCCATAGAGTCACAGCTCATGGCAACCTCAAACTCCTGGGCCAAGTGAGGGATTCTCTTGCCTTAGAGAATCTCCCAAGTACAGGTGCCCACCACAATGCCCAGCTATTTTTTTGTTCCAGTTTGGCCGGGGCTGGGTTTGAACCCATCACCCTTGGCATGTCAGGCCGGTGCCCTACTCACTGAGCCACAGGTGCCGTCTAACGCCCAGCTATTTTTTGGCCCAGGCTGGATTTGAACCTGCCAGCTCCAGTGTATGTGGCTGGCATACGTATACCAGCCATAGGCGCCGAACCCTATTTCAGGTTTTTTTTTTTTTTTTTGAGACAGAGCCTCAAGCTGTCCCCCTGGGTAGAGTGCCGTGGCATTACAGCTCACAGCAACCTCCAACTCCTGGGCTCAAGCGAGTCTCCTGCCTCCGCCTCCCAAGTAGCTGGGACCACAGGCGCCCCCCACAACGCCCGGCTATTTTTTTTGGTTGCAGCTGTCGTTGTTGTTTGGTGGGTCCGGGCTGGGGATTCGAACCCACCACCTTAGGTGTACGTGGCTGGCGCCTTAGCCGGTTGAGCTATAGGCGCCGAGCCGCCATCAAGTATTTCATTATATAAACCACTACTTAACAGTAGGTTCATTCCATTAAAAAAATTTAGCCCTGAGTCTTTTTTTCATGTATTTTAATAAAGTTGCACAATTTTCCGCATGAAGGTTTAACATATCTTTTGTTAGACTTAGATGATATAGAAGTTGTGATTAATTCATTCCTACTTCCCCATCTATACTGTATTTTATTTAATCACAGCTTCTTTCCCTATTATAATGCCCAATGAAGATAGGATTTTTTTGGCTATTTGTGTTCATTACTACATCTTCAGCCCAGACCCTGTCTTGCATATGGTAGACACTTATTCTTTTTGTTGAGGTAGCGTCTCACTCTGTTGTGCTGGCTAGAGTACAGTGGTGCTGCCATAGCTCAACCTCAAACATCTAGGCTAAAGTGATCCTCTTGCCCCAGCCTTTTGACTGGCTGGGACTACTGGTACCTGGCACCATGCCTGGCTAATTCTACCCCCCCATTCTTTTGTAGAGATGATGTCTTACCCTTGCCCAGGCTGAACATAACCAATCCCTCCACCCCCGTGTCTTGGCTTCCCAAAGTGGTGAGATCACAGTTGTGAGCCACTGTGCTTGACCTGTTATGTTTATCAGTGTTCTTCCCCTTAAAGGAGAGAAATATCCGTCCTTTTAATTCTTTGTTTGATCAGCTTTTTCTTTATAAAGAGAGTCTCATTTTATTGCCCTCGGTAGAGTGCCATAGCGTCATAGCTCACAGCAACCTCGAACTCCTGGGCTTAGGTGATTCTCTTGCCTCAGCCTCCCGAGTAGCTGGGACTACAGGCACTCGCCACAATGCCCAGCTATTTTTTTGGTGCAGTTTCGCCGGGGGCTTGGTTTGAACCCACCACCCCAAGTATATGGGGCTGGTGCCCTACTCACTGAGCCACAGGCACCACCCCTTTTTAATTAACGATTTATGGCTGGGTGAGGTGGTACATGCCTGTAATCCTAGGACTGTGAGAGGTTGAGGCAGGTGTATTGCTTGAGCTCAGGAGTTCAAGACCAGCCTGAACATCGAGACACCATCTCTACTAAAAAATAGAAAAATTAGCCAGGCATCATTGTGGGCACTTATAGTTTCAACTACTGGGGAGGCTAAGGGAGGAAGACTGCTGTGAGCTAGACTGATACCATGGCACTCTAGCTGGGGTAACAGAATGAGACTCTGTCTCAGAAGGAAAAAAAAAAAAGAACAACAACAACAAAAAAGGCCTATAATCCTAGCATTCTGGGAGACTGAGGCAGGTGGAGTACCTGAATAAGTGTGAGATCCCGTCTCTAAAAAAACAGCAGGGCATTGTGGCAGGTGCCTGTAGACCCAGCTACTCGGGAGGGTGAGACAAGAGAATCACTTGAGACCAAGAATTTGAAGTTGCTGGTCCATGAGCTATGATGCCACAGCATTCTACCGAAGGAGGAGGGGGGAATTTACCAAATTATTTTTCTCCATCTATCAATTTTTTGGATATTATCAAATGTTTTTCTACTTTTTCCTCTTTTACCTGCTATTATGACCATCTATAATACATCTATCCTATTGCTAAATAGCTCCCCAAAGAACAAAAGAACCTAACTTCATAAAAACAAACTTACTATCTCCAAAGCTATCATCACCTCTTCTAGGTGGGTAGTCATCAAAGCTGTCTGTGGCAGGACGGGCTCTCCAGTCGGTATCTGTTTTGTCAGAATCCCGATTTCTATCCCGGCCAAAAGAGCGATCATCCCGGTCTACAATTATGTTAAAACAAATAAACAAGAATTTAAGTTACAGTAGCGCATAAAGACTGCCCATTACACAGAACCCTCCCCTCATTTGAACCACGTTTCTTTCTTATAGCACACTGTCATCATCAAGTTGCCCCTAGACCCCATAAGAACAATCTCCAACCCAACCAGGTAATTCTTAATATTTATTTCTATTAGTTTAATCCTTATCTGTCTCATATTCTGTGCAGGCCAGGAGTCTCTGAAACATACATGAATTACGTCTATTTTGTGCTCAATGTGCTGCTAAGTAGAAATCTATTTATTACATATGTAATGTTTATCTAGCTTAATCAGGGCTTTTCAATCAAAATACCTCTAAACATTTTGGGCTGGATAATTCTTTTTTGTGGGTAGTGGTAGACCTGTCTAGCCTTTTAGGATTAACTCCTGCAATCTATCTATTAAATGTCAGCAGCACTCCTTCTAGCTGTGACAACCCAAAAAGTCTACAAAAGCTCCCTGTGGGGCAAAACTGATTGAGAACCATTACTCTGGGTTTAGTTGGGCCCACCACTACTTCTATTAAAATTTCCTGGGAAAAGACACCTCTGTTTTGTCATCCTAGGACCATTACCAAACAAATTTCTATCAGTTTTCTTACCTTTATCCTGTGCTTGATCGGCAACATCCACTCGAATTCTCCTATTACCTAAGGACTGAGAGGATAGGACCATATTAACCAATTTTTTACCCCCTTAGGAACAAACCCTTTAAATGATCTTGAACATGTAGACATGGCAGAAACACCAGGGGAAAGAAGATAATAAAAAAAGACTAATCTGAGGCGGTGCCTGTAGCTCAAAGGAGTAGGGAGTTGGCCCCATATACTGGAGGTGGTGGGTTCAAACCCAGCCCTGGCCAAAAACTGCAAACAAACAAACAAAATAGACTAATTTGGCCAGGTGCACTAGCTCACACCTGTAATCCAGCACTCTGGGAGGCTGAGGCCAGTGGATTGCTGGAGTTTAGGAGTTTGAGACCAGCCTGAGCAAAAGCAACACCCTGTCTCTACTAAATACAGAAAAACTAGCCAGATATGGTGCCAGGAGCCTGTAGTCCTAGTTACTTGGGAGGATGAGGCAAGAAGATTGCTCAAGCCCAAGAGTTAGAGGTTGTTGTAAGCTGTGAGGCCAGGGCAACAGAGTAAGGAAAAAAAAAAAAACTTATCTAGCCAACACTCCAATTTGTTAGTTTGAAAAGCCTTGAAAATGGAAATAGTCCCTTAGAATTAACAAACTTAATTTAGCCTTAAATGAACATCAGGGCAGTTATCTTACTTTTATAAAGCTTAATTTTAGAACAGAATTAACTTTTTACCTATCTAAGGCAATTTGTCAAGCATAATAAACTAAAAATAATTTTCAATTAGCTAAATAAAAGGTATATTTGGTGCCACAGTATTTATTTATTCAGACAGTTATAGAAGCTGGGTACACTGGCACATTCCTGTAGTTCTAGCTACTCAGGAGGAGTAGGAGTCCTACCTGGGCAACATAGGATAGCCCCCGATTTCCTTTTCCCACATCATTATTTATATACTTTGAACTCTACTAAGTCTACTGATTTTTCCTTATATCATAGAATTTAACATTGAAGAAAAATTAACAACAAATTTTAGTTAAAAACACCCTAAATCATATTAAATACCACTTTAACAAAATCTCTAAATAATAAAGTTAACTCCTAATTACAGACTATGAGACTATGTAGCTAACATCAGCTAACAATTATACGTTATCCTTTTTCTTATCCAGACTAAGCAAAATTAATGTCAATAAAAACAAACAACTCTGGAGAAATCTTAGCTTTTTGTAAATTTAACTATTTATGACTTTTTATTCATAATCTGACACTGATTTCAGATTATCAAGATGGTACTCAATAATGAAATAGCAAAAATGTTGATTTCAATCATGTCAAATGGCAGAATTATGTCACAAACAGCACTAGAAATCACCTTCTCAATAAACAATGAGGGGTTTCTGGAGTTAAAAGAGAAAAGGAGGCTTATATTCTGTGAAGAAAAGAAGCTTTTTCTTTTTCCCAGATATAAGCCTCTTGTATCTCTGGACAGGAAAACATCTATGGGTGGTGGTGAAAAGCAGGAATGAATATTTTTCTCCTGTAAAACATTCCTAGTAAGAAATTCTAAATTCTCTTAAAATGACCAAAAATACCATTATGATAGTTCCTTGAAAATTTAACACCTTCTAACACTTAACTTTTCTGTTTGCCTTCATCAGGCCATATTATTTTAAAAAAGTAAAGCCATAAAATTCAAAGCAAAACTGCCGAGTGAACCAATGAAGATTTTTACTTGAGACATGGTGCGTAATGGGTTTCTTTTTTTTTTTTGTTTGTTTGTTTTTTGAGACAGAGCCTCAAGCTGTCCCCCTGGGTAGAGTGCCGTGGCATTACAGCTCACAGCAACCTCCAACTCCTGGGCTCAAGCGAGT